TAGTCTAATGCTTGTGCCCAGTCTGTCTCTGTTCTGGTTATTGGCCTCACTGCCCACCCAAACCAGGACTCCAGAGCCGCCCTCTCCAGTATAGTACATCCTAGCCACATGTGTCTACTTGATTTATTTTATTTATTTTTGTTTGCTCTAGGGTGCATGCTCTCACTGGAGAGAGACAGAGAGAGAGAAAGTGAGAAAGCACCCCCCCCCGGGGGGGGGATGGCCAAGCCGCGACGCTTCTCCATTCTCCTCCCGAGATTTTGGGCGCACACGCACCTACATATGCCCAGCGTGATTTTCACACTGTCCCCAGGTACAGGACTCGAAACAGAGTCAGCTCTGTGGGATCTAGCACCTTCGCCTCCACCAGCCATCTGCTGACCCCACACATGGCTGTGTTAACTTAATTAAATTTGGGAGAGAGATGAAGGCACAGCAGTACTGCACCTCTGTGCCAGGCTGCCCACATGAGAAGTCTCCCGGTTTGCATCTGGAGACCTCCTTGAGCATACCAAGCACACACATGTTCGTAATCCAGGACTGAGAAACTACAAGCAGATCGTGCTGTGAAGACCCTGTTGGGAGTGCTGTCTCTCTGTCTCTGTCTCTCCCTCTCATTTTGTCTCTGTCTCACTTATTGAAGAAAGAAAGAAATTGGGAGTGGCCAGCAGGTGGCATGGAAGTTGAGGCAGCTGAATACCACATAGCTGACTACATGGTTCAAGTCCCAGACCCAGCAGCTTGTAAAATACACCAGGTACGCATGTGTGCGTGCCCAGAATCCTCAGAGGAGAACAGAGGAGGAGGGATTGTGGTGTGGCCATTCCCCCCAGGGATAATTTCCCACTTACCTTCTCTCTGTTTCTCTCCAGTGAGCATACATACCCTATGGCAAAAAACTTTAAAAAAAAGAAAACTTAAAAACTCACCTTGGCTCAAAAATTTAATTTTTTTTTTAAGGTTTTTGTCATAGGGCACATGCTCTCACTGGAGAGAGACAGAGAGACAGTAAGAGGGCAAGTGGGAAATCACCCCCCAGAGAGGATGGCCAGGCTGCGATCTCTTGTCTCCTGAGATTTGGGGCACACATGCCCAGTGTGATTTTTTTTTTT